TAAGAACTTCAGAAACCTCGAGGTGTAGTGGCTCACACCTGTAATCCTAGCACTTTCGGAGGCAGAGGCTCTACTCAGGTGGATTGCCTGAGCTCAAGAGTTTGAGACCAGTCTGGGCAACACAGTGAAACCCCGTCTCTACTAAAATACAAAAAATTAGCCAGGTATGGTAGTGTGTGCCTGTAATCCCAGCTACCTGGGAGGCTGAGGCAGAAGAATTGTTTGAACCTGGGAGGCAGAAGTTGCAGTGAGCTGAGATCGTGCCACTGCACTCCAGCCTAGGTGACAGAGCAAGACTCCATCTCCAAAAAAAAAAAGAAAAGAAATTCAGAATCAAATTTTAATTATACATCTATTACATATACAGGATACAGATATATAGGAACTTACGACATGTGCTTTATATGCTGTACTTCACAACAGCTTCATCTTTTTTTTATTGTTTTTGATACAGGATCTCCCTCTATCACCCAATTTGGAGTGCAGTGGCACAACCACAGCTCACTTCAGCCTTGACCTCCTGGCTCAAGCGATCCTCCCACCTCAGCCTCCCATGTAGCTATGACCACAAGTGCATGCCACCATGCCCAGCTAAATTTTGTTTTATTTTTTGTAGAGATGAGGTCTTGCTATGTTGCCCAGCCTGGTCTCGAACCCTTGGAGATAGCAATCCTCCTATCTCAGCTTCCCAAAGTACTGGGATTACAAGCATGAGCCATTGCACCCAGACATCTTTTTTTTTTTTTTTTAACATTTTCACTTCATACTGAATCTCCTACTTGCATTTATTGAACACACTATCTTCCCAGCACTGTGCTAAGTACATATGTGTTATCTCATTTAACCCTGGCTTTCCTACTGTGTGATCTTAAGGAAGATACTGAACTTCTATACGCTTTAATTTCATCATTGGTAAGTAAGGATGATCCTAATGTCCACTTTGTAGGGTTATAATGAGGATTAATGATAGTAGTTAACATCAGCAGTTATTAAAATATACTCAAATATTTTTGCCTAAAACAACTCAAAATATCTGATTTAATTATTTTGTAGGATGTCAATGTAGTAATGTCCAGAAAGATAAACATTCGTTTATTATAAAAACACTCAACATACAGAGCAGAATAAGTGTTACTAAGCTTATTTATTACAGCTTTAATGTAATTAAAGACTTTTGTGGTTTCTGTAATTAAGAGCAACATAACAGAATCAATAAAGCTTAAGACATAATGAACATCCATACAGAACACGTATTTATGTTTTTTTTTTTAAATAGGTAAATGAGATGATGGCCCCCTCTGAGGGCAGTGCGCCCGAAGATGCTTTACTTCAAAATCCATTCAGTTTTACAGGAATCTCAGATTGCTTTGGGCTGTCTTACTAGCCATAATAACGAGGCTTATTCTACTCCTGGGATTTAGTATACTGTATTAATAATTAAAGCATCTTATAAGCAAATGCTATTCTGACAACCAAGCCTGGGGCGCTGGAAAGACTGCTGGGTTAGAAAGCAGGACACTACATGCTGGATGAGCTCTTCGATAGATTAAAAAAAAAAAAAACTTAGAGCAGTCTTTTTAATGTCTCTGAGCTCAGATTGCTCCTTAGTTTGGATCACATTATTTTATGATCCCTATCAGCATCAAAATTCTTTGCATCTTTATTTTTTAACTTTACCGTGTCCGTGTACAAGTTAATGGCCACAAAATGATGTATGCATTTGAAAAATGGGGTAACTGAAGTGTAAAGTTTAAATTACATTCCAAAAAGCAATAGGAAAATAAATTGTAGCTGAACAATAATTGGCCAGGCACAGTGGCTCCTGCTGGTAATCCCAGCACTTTGGGAGGCCAAGGCAAGAGGATCACTTGAGGCTAGAAGTTCAAGACAAGTGTGGCAACATAGCGAGATCACCTCTCTAGTAAAAAAAAAAAAAAAAAAAATTAGCCATACGCAGTGGTATGCAGCTGTAGCTCCAACTACTTGGAAGCTGAGGTGGGAGGACTGCTTGGACCCAGGAGTTCAAAGCTGTAGTGAGCTATGATGGTGCCACTGCACCCCAGCATGGGTGACAGAGTGAGACCTCATCTCTAAAAAAATAGAAACAAAATGAAATAAAAGTAGAAAAGAATTAGATGTGACTTCTTCCCAAGTTCTAATTTTCTCTTATCCTGCTAGGAGTGTGATACATAGAAATTATATATTCTCAGAGGTCTATGGCATCAAACACTTTAACTCAATTCAGCAAATACTTATTCAGTACAAGTATGTTCCAAGCACTGTGTTAGTTTTTGATAACATGATGCAGGATACACATGATCAGTAACAATCAACTGAACAGCTTCATGTATAGGGGACTATACTAGGCCCTTGCCAGGGGTGGCTACCCTTCCTCTAGTGTGTAGAGGAAAAGGCAAGACATCCATCTGAAAAATAGATAATCAAGCATCAAATGGCTGATACAGACATAAATGTCATAAGATTTCAGAGACAGGAAACATCACTGAAAATCCAGACAGACTTCATGGAGCGTGTGAAATGTGAACCGAACTGCAAAGGACACTGAAAGATCAAAGAGGCAGGAAAGTGCTGGGCCTATTTAATTGACATTTATATCCTTCCCAGTATTGTTAAGATTAGGTTTATTTTTGTGTCTGAAATGCATGTGTGTTGTCTTCCCTCAATTTTAGGTACCATGACAGCGGAAACCATGTATAATACAATATTTATATTTGATTCAGCATGACTGATATTTATAGAGCACCTACTATACATCAGACACTGTACTAAGTAAGCTTTGGAGAAGAGGGAAAGGTCAAGGGGGAAAGAAAAGAATTGGAGATAAAACTCAGAAATCAGATGAGGTCCTTCTGTCACTGAAAGATCTGAGTAAACTTGGTTTGAACTCTCAACACATTGCCTGGACTGTGGATGTGTAAAGCCCTTTCAAGAATGAGCTAACTTCTGGAGGGACACTTTCACCTTCTCATTTCTACTCTGTTTTGCATCATGTTGCAGTGAAGGCATTCAAACAAGGTTCCCTGGGTTTGGCAGCCATCCCTGAAGATGGAGGTAGGTAGGAATCACAGCTCTGCTGCCCCAGTAGCTGCTTTCTCCATTTTCCCTCTCCCCTCCCTCCTTTTGCCCTCATGTTCTACATTACAGATTGCCTCCCAAAATTTCCAAAACCTCCCTGCAGTATGCACGGTGAGTTGGCCGTCCTCTAACAGCTGGATCCTTGGTCTCAACTTTCCACCTCAAGCATTTTCCAACCTATTTATTCTATTACACCTAATTTTCTTTCAGGAAGAAATCTGGCACCAGCTGCTAAGCAATGGTGATATTTTCTCCACCTTGTTACAGAGAGATAAGCGCACCGGTAACTCTAAGAGAAAACCACAGGGCTATGAAGGGACAGAAGGAGAAAGCATAGGAAATGAGTCAGGAATGGTTTTGGGGGCCTAAGTGGTCCCTTTCTCTGTCCCGAATTCACACCGTATTTATTGCCTATGTCACCATATTTATTGCCTTGGAAATGTGTCCTTTAATGCCTTCTATTGCTGTTTGTCTTTCCATCTGTTTGTGCTTTATCTCCCTGACCAGATTTTTTTCAGTTCCAGTATGGCAGGCTTTTCTGTTCATCCCTGGAATGCTCATGGCGCCTGGTCTAGTGCCTCCTGGGTAATGGGCTTCACTGATTGGTCTGTTGAGTCCCAACCTGTGGAAGCTTTATGATTTGCCTAGTTTCATAAGACCTTCCCTCAATTTTCCTAAAAATGCCACATGGCAGGTGTTTGACTTAATTAAAATAAATTAAAATGTCTCTAAGAATGCATTGAGTATTTAACCAATTGGCTTGAGAAGGCTGGAGATGCCCACTCAAGTTCCAGCAATGAGGCGCTGAAAAGGACCAATGTGTATTTAAGTGCCCCTACCTCCCAGCCATCTGCTTTTATTCTCACAATCACCTTCTGCGGTGAGATTAGGTGATTTGCCAGTGTTCACACTATTGCAGGGCAGGAACTGAAGTTTTTAACAGAACGCACCTAGATTCAAAGCTCCTGTTCTTTTCAATGTCTCACACGTCCAGAATAATAATGTCCCCTTAGAGATATTCAGGTTCTCATCATCATCACTAAGAAGGGCAGTTATCCACTAGGATACAAACTAAACAAACCACCCCAATAATTATTGTCCTGGAATTGTAAAAAGAAAATTGACTCCATGAACTTGAACAAGTGGCTTCACCTTTCTGAGCTTCCAGCTACTTATCTGCACATATACAATTCTACAGAGTTGATGTCAACATTAAGTTAAATAACACCGTCTCATACACACACACACACACACACACACGCACACACAATATCAGGGAAACAGTCTTTCTGTTAGCTGAAAACAAAGATCAATTGCATTATTTGAAGATTTCAAGTGGTAAGTGAAAATTCCTCTTCCTTTATAGAGTATAAAATAGGAGCTGACACTCAGGTCTGACATTCAGATTAGTTGGGCAGATGTCTTTTAATTGGGTTAACTCATTACATGACTTGGGAGGGGCATTAGCTGACTCACACAAGAACAGATTAACCATTAAGCCAACATCATGCAGCTACAGCCACAGTCCAGAAGGTAAACTGGCACCACCATCAATATCCTTTGAAGCCCTTCTCCACAGTAACTACCATTGCCCCTCAAACAGAGCACTTTCAGATTATTGTAATCAGCCCAAGTAGGAGGTAAGACGGTCTACGGTATGACCATTATAAAATATAAGAAACTTCTTTAGGGGAGGGCTTGGAGAATGGAACCACTCTCCCCATTCCCCTGATGACACCAAGTCCTGACATATGTCTCTAAGACCACAGGCTTGGTAGTGAACCAGAGCTGAGTTTTAGCTCTGCCTCATCCTAGTTGTGTGGCTGTGAGTAGTACATAACTGCTTTAAATCTCAGTTTTTTAATCTGTAAAATGGGAGTGATAATATTTTATGTCTTTTTTATTGTGTATATTCAGAATTTTTATTTTAAAACAAAGAACCAGAGTAACATTAATAATAGAAAATTCATGTGGAAATATTCACAATCTGGTCAGTGAGAAACGAGAAAACAACTTCCATGCCTTACTGCCCAACCATTGTTTGAGGAGCCAGAAGTAGAGGTGAAGCTGGAAAAAAGTCACCTTTTCCAGCTAAACCCCACTGCATAGCTATGTGCATTTTTATTCAAAGGCTCAATGACCAGAAGGAACAGTGAGAAGTGAAAACCAAAATACTGTTATTGGCAAGGGTTCAGCTAAAGAGTCTGAGATGTGTAAGCACCAAGAAGGGAAAAGGAGATCAATTAACATACGAAAAAGGGGCTGTAGGAACAAACACAGAGAAAATAAGTCAACAATAACCTACTTCCACCCAGAGCAAAGTGACACTGCACATACATTCATCCTTGCAGTATGGGCTACACTGCACATTGACTCATACTGTCTCCAACATGGCCTACTGGAAAGATTCAAGTCCCCTAAGGGCACTCAGCACAGGACCATGGTGGCATGGTAACAGACATAGACAAGCATGCCGTGACCCTGAAGCAACAACATGCTTTAGATAATAATCGTTCAGGAAAAAAATCCTCTCCCAGAGCTGAGGTGTCAAATTCCAAGTTAGCCATAAACATTCTTTTTGGAATTCCTTTAAAGGTATGGGTTAAAATAAAATAAAATCAACACCTAAAATCTCCTAAAGAACAAAATGGAGAAATAATGAACCTCTACCAAGAACTAATTATTTTGGATTTCTCATTTGGATGGCTCTCCCACCAGAGCGATGGCGGGATTACTTAAAAAGTAATGAGTCTACTACAAGGGGAAGGAGTTTTTTGGTCCAGTAAGAAGGAACAGGCTTTCTAGAAATAACTTTCCCTTCCCTGGACTCCATCCAAAATTAGAGCCCATCAACTGTGATTAACTACAATGCCCATCTTAGTTAACAATTTTAGATTTCAAGTAATACTACATATAAACTATAATCTTAAATTTAAAAGTTTCAAAAGAAATCGGTAGCTTTATTATATAGGCATATTACTTTTCTGAGAAATTAAACTTAAGAGTTTCCATCTGAAGGACAGAAATTGTTAAGAGGCAACACGCAGACCTCAGGCTCCGTATCATAAACCCTCCAATAACAAATTGCATTTCTCCCTAAATTCTTCTTATTGCACCTTACCGCTCAAGCATCAAATCTTCTACTCTATGATGTCTTTTAAACACCTCCCTTTCACCCCAATTTTCTTATGTTTTCATTGCTTGGCAAAAGTACACTTAAAAAAATAAATATATGTAATTAAACCAGGAGGCAAAATAAATAAAACTCAAGTTAATTTCCTGTGTACAGCTGTATGGAAATGAGGAAGGTGCTCTTACATAAACCCCCTCTGCTTTCCACACTTGTGTATCTGCTTCCTGGTAAGTCTGAAGTTGGGGCAACTGTACCTTACCCTTCCTCCCCTATATCCCCTAATGGGGCAATATTAGAATCCAAGAGAGGAAGAGCTGGCAAAGTTGTCATATGCCAAGTGGCCAATCCCTCCTGAAATGAAGGTAGGTTCACTTGGTCTCTCCTAAGTGAAAGAGAATGTCCAAGAAATGAAATATTTAAAAAGCCATTGAGAATCTAACAAACCCCAGCCTTGTGGGAGAAAGGAATTGAGTAGCAGCATTCAGAAGCAGTCCTGGGTTCATCCTGATGAGTACCTCCCTCCTTCAGGGAGAGGTGGCTTTCCCATGATGAGCGGGAGGTGGAAGGAGGCATGACTTAGACATTGGTGGTGGTCTCCTTAGCAGGCTGGTTGCTGTTCATCTCCACGATGCAGTCCTTCTGGATCTATTCGCATAATGTGCCTGCCCTTCAAAGTCCTGTGCGATATCCTCAAAAGTCCTGTGACAGGTCTCAGAGACTCTGAAGACGATAAAGATCAAGAAGGTAATGAGGAAGCTGGTGAAGATAATAAAAACATAGACTCCTAAACAGTAAGCAGCAGAAGGCTAGGAAGTTGGAGGTCCGATTGGAGCAGCTGGCCACTACCATCACAGCTGGACCAGGGCCCTGGTTGAAGAGTTCAGCCACAATAAATCAGGGAATGGGGCCTGGCCCAATTTCAAAGAAGGCCACAAAGACCAAGATAGCCCCAATACAGACAAAGCTTATCCCATTATACTCGTCCTTTAATAACAACGAAACAGTCGTGAGGATGGAACAAAAAGTCATCCCTCCAAAGTCTGTCATATCTAGAGTCCTTCTTCCTGCCCTTTCCACCAGAAATAGGGAAACTACAGTGAAGACAGTGTTAACCACACCCACACCGACATTGGCATAGATGGGCTCTTGAACACCTGCACCCTTGAAGATTCCTGTTGAGTAATAGAACACAGCAGATTCCAGAGAGCTGCTGAGAGAGCTGAGCACGATGGAAATGATGATGGGCTGTTGGTAGCTGGATACTCTACTTTTTTTGTTTTTAGGAGTCAGGGGAAAGCACAAATGCAGTCCCCCACTACCACAAATTATGCAGTCGAGTTTCCCACATTTGGGGAAATCGCGGGGGTCAGCACATCTGGAGTGCAATGGATAGGCCTCACCCTGGGAAAACCACCTTCGTGATCATGGTATCTCCCCTGCCAGGTAAGTATGGTAGCTGGATACTCTAAAGAGCTCCAGCACGGTGACTTGCTTTTCTTGTGCCGTCCTTGCACTCTCATCTTTCATCTCCTGGATGTCGTGGGATGCATCCTAAGGAGGATCTCCTTAGCATTCTCCTCTTCCTTTCTCTGAATGAGCAAGAATGTGGGACTTTCAGGGCAAAATGGAAGGGCTGCACTTTGTAGGAGAGTAGGAAAGATGGTAAAGCCTCATAGCCTGAGCCATAGCTCTTCAGACCCCAGGATGAATTCCAGACTAAAGATCTGGTTTGCCAGAATTCTGATAACAATGCCTAGCTGGTTGAGAGTGCCAAAGGCACCCGCAGCACAGTAGGTGAGATACATATGAGCACAAAACCTGTGCAGAGTCCACAGAAGAGGCCAATAACCAAGTGGCCCAGGATCAGCATTTCAACTGACTCAGCTACTTTAAACAATCCCGTAAGGCAGCCTCTAGTGACAACCAACAGGTTGATGATAAGCATTTAATTGTGCCTACCAAAGTGGTTGACAAAGAATTTAATGGAAAAGGAGCCAATCATACCACCAATGGAGAAAATGGCCACAGACAGAGACCAGAGGGACACGAACAAGATCTCAGAGGGAGGAGTATTTGCCTTGTCCTTCAAAGTGTTGATAAATTCCCTTATGATCATCTAAGTGGCATTGATGACCCCAGTGTTGTAGCCAAACTGGAAGGAGCCGACTGTAGCAACCGTAATGGTGAAGATCAGAGATGGAGTGACCTTCGGCGTCCCGATGGCCCTAATGTAATTCTTTCTTGCTTGCTTTTTTTTTTTTTGGTCAAATGACCATAGATTTTTTTTTTTTTTTTTTTTTTTGAGACAGAGTTTTGCTCGTCTCCCAGGCTGGAGTACAATGTTCAATCTCAGCTCACTGCAACCTCCGCCTCCCAGATTCAAGCTATCATCCTGCCTCAGCCTCCCAAGTAGCTGGGATTACAGGCACCTGCCACCACGCCTGGCTAATTTTTATATTTCAGTAGAGACGGGGTTTCACCATGTTGGTCAGACTGGTCTCAAACTCCTGACCTCAGGTGACTAATCTGCCTCAGCCTCCCAAAGTGGTGGGATTACAGGTGTGAGCCATCATGCCTGGCTCCTAATTTAATTATTTTCAAGTCTTTAAGAAAGGTCTAGGAGTGTGATTCCAGAGACACCTTTTTCAACCAATGAAACCTTCAAAATTCCCTTCTCGGCAGCCAGTTTTCTCCAGGTCCTCAGGAATACTCTAAAACTCTCACCATTACAGCATCTCCTATTTTCTGTCTTCTAAAGTTGTTGTAGAGATTAAATTAAATAATAAGCTAGGTGAAGTGGCTCATGGTGCATGTCTGTAATGCCAGCACTTTGGGAGGCTGAGGTAAGAAGCTCACTTGAGCCCAGGTGTTCAAGATCAGCCTGGGAAACATAAGGAGATCCTGTCTCTATAAAAAAATAATTAGCCAGGCATGGTGTTGCACACCTGTAGTCCCAGCTAATTTGGAGGCTAAGGTGGGAGGCTTGAACCCAGGAGGTCAAGGCTGCAGTGAGCCATGACTGTGCTACTGCCCTCCAGCCTGGGTGACAGAGACCCTGCCCAACCTTCCCTCCAAAAAAGAAGAATATAAATTACTTAGTACACTATCTGGCACATTGTAGGTTCTTTATAAAGTTGGTTATTATTTTATTATTAGCAGGGACCAAGGCCTTAAAGTTGTAAGATGCAGGGAAATAACAAAAGAAAATAAAGAAAGGCTCCCTGTTGCTGAAGAAGCCAATGCCACAGTCAGGTTCACGAGGTCTATCACAATTTGGCTTGCAGCCAATCTTACCCCATGGTTACCTGCATGCACCCTGTGAAAACTTCCTTCGCTCCTCAAGGTAGGCAGAATTCCTCCTTTAGTTTCCCAAAGTACTTTGCATGTACTACTTTCCCTTATCACTCTGCATTCTATTTTGCTTGCATAGCTATCAAGTCTACCCTACCTCATCCCAGGCTGTGAGTTTATAGACAGCAGGAACCAGGCAGTCATCTTTGTATTTGCAGCCATAGGCATTTTGTAAGTATTAGATGAATGGATAGAAGGATGGATGGATGGATAGATAGATAGATAGATAGATAGAGAGATAGAGAGATAGATAAGGAACATGGGATGGCTAGTGACTTGAAAGGATTAGGTCTCGGTACCCAGGGGTCTAATTAAGACAGTCATTGCTTCACAAGCTTGCCTAAGGCTGAATCTGAAAGAAATGCAGAGGACATGACATTTGCAGAAGTGTTTGCCTGGTGAGCAACCCACATGTGCCTCCAAGGGAAAAGCATGACTAGTTGGTGACTGCTGGCAGAGCTGGTATCAGGCAGAATACCTTGGCAACCAGAAACCAAGGCAGGATGATGCCTCTAAGTTTTCCTGCAGCCTGAAAGTTAAATTAGCCAATTAGGAACAAGTCCTTCCAAAGACTCAGTTTCAGGCAGACTTGTGGAAATGACTGTTCTCTCTGTCATTGTGTTCACTGTTAACAATGATGCAAGATCTAAAGACAGAAAGTGGGCATGAAATGTGGTTCTCACAGAAGATGGACTGTGTGAAGATAACATTTCCAAGTACCTAGAGTACCAACTATTTTAGATCATAGGGCAATATAGAGGGAGACACTATATCTTGACTTTTCAGAAAAGATTCTTATTTTATTCATTTTGTTAAAAGCAATTGAAGATGATAACATTTATTGATTGATCACTGATTGTATACCTCATACTTTTTAAGAAAGTGATATGCTAGAGTTGGCCTTCCCTGGCTCATGAGAGTCAATTATACATGTGTTTTCTCAAGGTTGCATTAGATAATTTTACACTGCCATCTTAAATTCGGCCATGTCAGGAGTATTTGACTTCCCAGACTCAAATGATGGAAATCGGCAAACACTAAAAATCGGTGTTTTCACTCTCATCCCTCCTGAGAGCTGCTTGTCAAACATTTACTGCACACCACTGATTTTACAATAAATGATCCTAATTAGCCCTTCCCATATTCCTACTTTACAGATGAGAAATTGAAGTTTAGAGATTAAATAACTAATTCACTTATTACAAACATTTTGGTGGCAAAGGCAGGATTGAAATTCAGATCATCTGTCTCCAAAGTTCATGAATTTAACCACTATTTTTTTCTCTTTCTTTTTTTTTTTTTTGAGACAGAGTCTTGCTCTTATCTCCCAGGCTGGAGTGCAGTGGTGTGATCTCAGCTCACTGCAACTTCCCCCTCCTGGATTCAAGTGATTCTCCTGCCTCTGCCTCTCCTGCAGCAGCACAGGCATGCACCAGCATGCCCAGCTAATTTTTGTATTTTTAGTAGAGACGGGGTTTCACCATGTTGGCCAAGATGGTCTGGATCTCTTGACCTCATGATCTGCACCCCCTTGGCCTCTCAAAGTGCTGGGATTACAGGCGTGAACCACCGTGCCTGGCCAGTATTTAACCATTATTTGCAACACTTTACTTTTTTAAAATTGGGGGGTGGAGGGATGGGGTGGGAACCTACCTTATATCCTAATTCTAAGATTTCAAACCCCACTTAGGTCAGCAAAATGGCAGCATAGGCAGCTTGAAGGTCCTGTCCCCCCATAGAAAGTCAAAGAACAAGCAGAAGCTGTCAGAATCAACTTTGTCAGACTCGAAAAAAGTCAGAGGCTTACAGCAACCAAGTGGATGCTGAATTAAGAAAAATAAAAAATGGGCCAGGTGTGGTGGCTCACCCCTGTAATACCAGCATTTTGGGAGGTCAAGGCAAAAGGATCTCTTGAGCCCATGAGTTCCAGACTAGCCTGGAAACACAGTGAGACTCTGTCTCTACCAAAAATAAAAATTAACCAGGCCTGGTGGTGCATGCCTATAGTCCCAGCTACTGGGGAGGCTGAAGTGAGGGGATCATTTGAGTCTGGGAAGTCAAGGCTGCAGTGAACTATCATCTAGACACTACACTGAAGCCTGGGTGACAGAGTGAGTCCCTATCTAAAGAATATATAGATAAGGCTGGACGTGGTGGCTCACGCCTGTAATCCTAGCACTTTGGGAGGCTGAGGCGGGTGGATCACGAGGTCAGGAGTTCGAGACCAGCCTGGCCAACATGGTGAAACCCCCATCTCTACTAAAAATACAAAAAATTAGCTGGGCATTTTGGCAGATGCCTGTAATCCCAGCTACTTGGGAGGCTGAGGCAGGAGAATCACTTGGGAGATGGAGGTTGCAATGAGCCAAGATCTTGCCACTGCACTCTAGCCTGGGTGACGGAGCAAGACTCCATCTCAATAAATAAATAGATAAATAAAATGATAGGAAAGTTTTGTGGCATTTTTATTTGCTCTTACTCCACACCTTACCTTGCAACAGTCTTGAAGACAGAAGCCCATACTGTCAGCATGGGCTGTGGCCTCTGGTTCTAGAGAGAGCAAAGCAGACCTTATTTGCAAATTATTGTGTAGATTGGTTTTAACTTGTCTGAGGGTAAATGAAGGACTGGTACAAAGCACTTACCTCTGTTTGCCTAACTCTGAATTAACCCAGATTGGAAAAGCATAGGGCATTGCTTGAATCATCATAAGATGGAAGAATAAGGCCTGAGGCAAAAGATCACAGTTGAGACATGCAATAAACCACCTCAGGCCTGGGCCAAAAATTTGAGGACAGAGTTTCTTTAGAAAGTTAGGGCAATCAAAAGCACCTGTGTATGCAGGGAATTTAGAAAGCCATGCATGTGCCCAGGGCAAGATGCTCGCTCAGAAAAGATGTGATAAAAACTTCAGCTTTCATCACAGCTGATTCCTAAGCTCTGCGCAAGCCTGGCTAAGTGTTGAATGAGGGCCCCAGCACAGCCCAGTTGGCAAAGACTGAGAAAAGTATTTTTGTTTGTTTCTTTTGTTTCTTAGCTCCTGAAATTCAAGTAAAATTCCGTCAAAACATCACTGAAAATCAGGTGCAGTGGCTGACGCCTGTAATCCTGGTATTTTGGGAGGCTGAGGAAGGCAGATCACTTGAGGACAGGAGTTCGAGGCCAGCCTGGACAACACGGTGAAACCCCATCTCTATTAAAAATACAAAAATTAGCCAGGCACGGTGGCATGAGCCTGAAATCTTAGCTACACAGGAGACTGAGCCAGGAGAATTGCCTGAACTTGGGAGATTGCAGTAAGCAGAAATCACACCCGTGCACTCCAGCCTGTATGACAGAGCAAAAACTCTGTCTCAAAAAGAAACAAAAAACAAAAACCAACCAAACCAACAAACCAGCAAAAAAAACCACTCACTGAATACAAGCTAAGGCACAAGAGACTTCAGCAACCACACATGACAAAGAAAAGTCTCCGCAAAAATAGGAAAAGTTACTAGAACAAGACTACTACAGGCCTCAACAATAAAAACAAAAACAATCACAAAGAAAAGGAAACTCCAAAGAAGGAGAATAATCTTATTTCTAGAGTTGCTGCAATATACTATTCAAAAGTCCAGTTTTCAAAAACAACAAAAGAACACAAGAAGGTACACAAAGAAACACGTAAGTATACTTCAATAAAACAAACAGACAAAAACCATGCCGAAGAAGCCCAGACATTGAGCTTATTAGACAA